CTCTTCCCCTTGCTCCTACTCTTTCCCCCTTGGATCCTCATACAGTTATCTTTCTATTTATGCAATAATGGTCCTATACAGTATTTGTACTTAAGGGACAAACAAATTCACTTAGCATAATGGTCTCCAGTACCTCTCAAATCAGGTAGTGATTTCAAAATCATTGATCCTGCACCCTGTATAGTATTTCATAGTGTGAATGTACCATAATTTCTCAATCCACTCGAATGTGGTTGGACATTTGGGCTGTTTCCATGTTCTTGTGATGGTGAATAATGCTGTTATAAACATTGGTGCACAAATCTCCATTTGTGCTTCAGTTCTAATTTTCTCAGGGTATGTTCCAAGCAGTGGAATAACTGGGTCATATGAAATTTCTATGTTCAGCTTTTAGAGGAAGTGCCAAACTGCTTTCCAGAGTACTTGAACCATTATCCACTTCATAAATAACATGCCTCCAGAAATTCTATGAACATTGATAAATGTCTATAGTTGTAGGGAGGCTTCAGGCCTTTTGTTCATTGGGTTGCTATGAGTCATGCTCTACTTGAAGGTAAGCAACAACAAAAACAACAACAAAAGAACATTTCAAGATCTATCCTGCATTACAGTGAGTGATAAGGTATTCTCCATATGCATACCAAGAATATCTGTTAGCCAAACTATCATTTAAAGAGATGCACCAACCACTAATATCAAAGAGGAATAGTTTGTGGATTTCTACTAACTTTTCTACTTACTAAGATTGATGATGCAACTTGCTTGATGAGGACTTGAAACTCTTGCTGCAGAAAATAAAAAATTACAGTGTTCAATACCGATTGGAGCTCAACATCAAGAAGACAAAAATACCACCACCAGATTAACAAGCAATATCATGATAGATGGGAAAAAAATGATTGAAATTGTTGATTATTTCATCGTACTTGGGTCTCCTTGATCAGGTAACACCTTTCTCCCAGAAGGGCATCGGCTACCTTAATCTCATCTTTCAGGAAAGGATATCTACATTACCACAGTATGAGATCTAGGAGAGACCTCTCTGGACCTTGAAATTATAACATTGTGTCAGCAATGTAAACAGAGACAGTAAGTCACAGAATTTAGCAGAAGCTCTGTGGCCAGGATCTTCCCTCAGGACTTTCTCAAGCAAAAATCTTTCTCTGAAGTTGGTACATGGGATTTGGACTTGCATCCTCCTAAGTAAGAGATGAACAACAGCATGAGAAACCAGTAGCAGTGTGTAGTGCAGGACATCACAGAAGTGAGTGGTAATCATATTAAGAGGTAGCTGGGGAAGGGAAGGTTTGACTAGGTAGCCAGGTGTGCAAGAAATGGGGATGTAGCAGGGAAAGTGTAGAGTCAAGTCACACGTGCTTGGGGAGCAGGAGGGAATTGGCAGTGAATGTACTGGAAGTGTCTTTCATCTGGTAGGAAAAATGCTTGTCTGTCAAATATTTTTCTGACATTGAGTATCCAAATTAAGACAGACTAGGAACAGGGATTAACCATCCACTTCTGAAATATAACTGGCTTTTGAAAACTCTAAGTATAGCGGAGCACATTTAAAGTAGACTAACAGATATAGTAACTGAAGTTGACCCCTCAAATTTGGAAACACAAAGGAGGAGAAACAGTTCTAAGAAGAAATGAACAATTGGTATGTGGAATGTGAGAAGTATGAATGTGGAAAAACTAGACATGTAAATAAATAAATGGAATGCATAAATATTTACATATTGGGTATTAGCAAAATGAGATGGATTGACATGGGACGTTTTGAATCCCATGATCATATGATCTCTTATGCTGGAGATGAAAAGGTGAGAAAAAACTAGAGTCGCTTTCATAGTTAAAAAGGCCATTTCTAGATCCATCTTGAAATACAATATTGTGAGTGACAGTATGATATCCATATGCATACAAGGAAGACCTATTAATGCTATTGTCATTCAAATTTACGCACCTACAACCAGAGCCAAAGAGAAGGAAATAGATTATTTCTATCAACTGTTGCAGTCAGAAATCAATCGAACATGTAACCAAGACACATTAATAATAATGGGTGACTGGAATGCAAAAGTTGGGAACCAGGAAGAAAGATTAGTAGTCAGAAGATAGGGACTTGGTGACAGAAATGAGGCTGTGGATAGAGTGATAGAATCCTGTACAATCAATTATTTATTCATAACAAATGCCTTTTATAAAAAGCATAAATGCAGGTTATACAAATGGATTTAACCTGATGGGATGCACAGAAATCAGATTAATTACATCTGTGGAAGGAGCCATTGGAGAAGTTCAATATCAGCAGTAAAAACTAGGCTAGATGCTGATTGTAGAACAGACCACCACCTGCTCATATGCAAGTTCAAATCAAAATGAAAGGTGAAATCCTATCTACAGGAATAAAAATTTGACCTTAAGCTTATCTCCCATGAACTGAAAAACCAACTCAGGAATAGGTTTGAGACCTTGAACACTAATGAGTGAAGACTAGATAAACTGTGGGAAGAGATCAAGAATATTGTTCATGAACAATGCAAAAAAGTCATTACAAAGAAGGAAGAAGAAAAGACCAAAATGGATGTAAGAAGAGACTTAATGCTGCACTAGAGCGCTGAGAAGCCAAAGCAAAGAGAAGAAATCAAGAAGTTAAGGAGCAGAATAGAAGATTTCAAAAGACTGCTTAGGAAGACAGGGTAAAATATTATAATGAAATGTGCAAGGAACTGGAGTTGAAAAATCATAAGGGCCAAACTCACACAGCATTGCTTAAGCTGAAAGAACTAAAGAATAAATTCAAGCCTCAAGTTGCAATGCTTTAAGGATGCTATGGGCAGAATATTGAACAATTCAGGAAGCATTAAAAGAAGATGGAAGGAGTACACAGAGTCATTGTACCAACAAAAATTGGCTGACACAGAAGAATTTCAAGAAACAACTTATGAGCAAGAAGCAATGGTGATGAAGGAGGAAGTGCAGGCTGCTCTGGAGGACTTGGAAAAAAATAAAGCCCCAGGAATTGATGGAATACCAATTGACATATTTCAGCAAACAGATGCTGTCCTGAACACATGTTCACCAAGTTGTGCCAAGAAATCTGGAGGACAACTACTTGGCCAACTGATTGGAAGAGATTCATATTTATTCCCATTCCAAAAAAGAAGGTGACCCTATAGTGTGGAAATTATCAAATAATATCACTAACATCACATACTAGCAAAATCTTACTGAAGATTATCCAGAAATGACTTGAACAGTACATTGACAGAGAACTACCAGAAAGACAGGCTGGGTTTAGAAGAGGTCGTGGCTCTAGGGACATTATTGTCAATGTCAGATGAATCTTGGCAGAAAGCAGGGAATACCAGAGGAATGCTTATCTGTGTCTCATTGACTATGAAAAGGCATTTGACTGCAAGGATCACAATAAATTGTGTCTAACCTTGAGGTAAATGGAAATCTCAGAACACTCGATTGTGCTTAGATGAAACCTATACTTGGACCAAGACACAGTCTTCAGAACATAGCAAGGAAACAAGGCATGGTTCAAAATAAGGAAAGGAGTGAGTCAGGGATGCATCCTCTCCCCATACCTTTTCAATCTGTATACAGAACAGATCATTAGGGGGAAAGGGCTCTATGAGGATGAGTGTGGCATCAAGATTGGAGGAAGACTCATTTTAACAACCTATGACACAACCTTGCTTGCTGAAGCTGAAGAAGACCTGAAGCACTTGCTGCAAAAGGTCAAGGATTGTAGTCTTCAATATAGATTGAAGCTCAACGAAGATTCTTACCACTGGGCTAATTGGTAGCACCATAATAAATGGAGAAGAGATTGAGGTTGTTAGTCATTACAGCTTGCTGGTCTCCACAAACAATACTCTTAACACCAGCAGTCAGGAAATTAAAAGACAAATTGCCTTGGGGAAATCTGTTATCATGTACCTCTCCAGAGTGCTGAAGAGCAATGATGTCTAGAGACAAAGATGTGCATAATCCAGGCCATGGTCTTTTCAATTACTTGTTCTGCTTCAGAGAGTTGGGCAATGACTAAAGATTACAAAAAAAGAATAAATGCCTTCGAGTTGAGGTACTGGAGAAGTGTCTTGAACATACAAGAAAAAAAAGTCTGTCTCAGAGAGGATGAAACCAAGTCTCTCCTTGGAGGCTAGGATTTTGTATCTCTCACTTAATTTGGGCATGTGGCTGGGAGAGATTGGTCCTTGGATAAGGACATTATGCTCAGAAGCGTGGACAGACAGGGCAGGAGAGGAAGAGCCCAGATGAGATGGATTAATACAGTAACCGGAGCAATGGGGGTTGGTGTGTCAGAATTAGTGAGACTGGCTCAGGACAGGGAAGGGTTCAGAGCTCCTGTACATAGAGTCACGATGCATCACAGGTGACTCAATGGCACATAACAGCAATAACATACTGTGACAGGTTGGAAGCAGGAATGGCATCCACTTCCTAAATAACATGCCACTGGAAACGGTATGATTTTTGATAAATGTTGATGGTTGTAGAGGGGCTTCAGGCCTTTTGTTCGTGATGTTGCTATGAGTCATGCTGGACTAGAAGGCAATCAATAACAACAACAATAACAATAACATAACTTCACATCCTCTCTAGTATTTATTATTTGACATCCTAATAAACTTTGCCACTGCTTCTGGAGTGAGATGGTAACTCACTGGAGTTTTGATTTGCATCTCTCTTATTCCCAGTTATTTTGAGCAGTTCTTCATGTGTTTGTTGGCCATCCAAATATCTTCCTCTGTGAAAAATCTTTCTGTGTCTTTTGCTAATTTTGTTATTGGTTTATAAGCATTTTACTTGTGGAAAACCTATAGGGTTCTTTATACTCTTGATATGAGACCCTTGTCTGAAATGGTATGCAACTGAAATTCTTAATTAAATTTATGTGTTTCTTTTTGTTATCATAATAAGTAAGTCTTGTTATAGAAAACTTATTTTTCTCTTATTTTCAGTAACAATATATGAAGTTCACTTGGCAACGGGTGAACTATGGAATGCAGGAACAAAAGCAAATGTCTATATTTCTATCTATGGAGAGAAGGGAGATACAGGATCTAGACATCTGCTGAGATCCAAGAGTGCCATCAATTTTCTAAGAGGACAAGTAAGTGAGAAAAACTTTATGCATAACAACTTTTTGTTGTCGAAGGATGGGCAATCCCCTCCCTTGAGATTAACTGCCTCTGAAAACCCACTGGAGGGTCACCCATGGATCGGTTCTGACTTGACAGCACATAGCAACAACAACAATGTTGAAATAGAATGCATTACATCATTCTATGGCTACTAGTAACACATGCAAGGAGCTCTGGTGGTGCAACTGTTAAGGATTTTGCTGCTAACAGAGAAGTTGGCTGTTTGAATCCACCTAGCAACTCTATCTGATTCTGTAACAGTTATAATCCAGAAAACTCTATAGAGTATTCTATTTGTCAATGAATATTTTTATCTGGATTTGAATGAGGATTAACCACGGAAATCAGTTTTTTTATTGAACTATCCATATAAATTGTGTTCAATGACAATAATGTCAATACATGCAATATATTCACACTTCTACAAATTTACTCCTTATAATTCCATTAAGTCTCTGTACCTGTCTGAGTCTTCTCTTTCTTTAGTGCTATTGTGCTCATCATCCACTTATTGCATATGGCCATTCCCTTCATCCATTAATATATGCCTACTTGCTTTTTACTCTGCCAATTTACTTCTCAAACCATTTTGGATTATGTTCAGTAATATTTTTCTTGCATGTGATATTAATAATTTTGTTCTTTAATTCCACATTCTGTTGGATACCTTTCTTGGAAATGAGAATAAATAAAAGTCTCTTCCAGTAATTTGGTCAGGTCTTCTAGACTTTTTGGCAGAGTCTGATGAGCATGTCCAGGGCTGTGTCTCTTTGTTGAAATATGCCAATTGATATTCCAGCAATTCTTGGGGCCTTAATTTTACCCCCAGTGCCTTCAGTGCAGCTTGAAACATCTTTCTTAATTGTACTTAATTTTTGATTATATGCTATTTCTTAAAATTGTTCTGTGTCAGCCATTTATTTATTTATTTTTGGGGGGATACAGTGACTCTGTATATTCTTTCCATCTTTTTTTGTGGCTTTCTGAATAATTTAAGATTTTGCCTGAGTTCCCCAGCGGTCCCGTGAATCTGTCTCTTGCTTCAACAGTGTTTGGACGGAACAGACCCGGCGACTTCTCCCCTTCCAACCTCCGACTACCCTCCAACGTCACCTCCAGGCGTAACCTCGGGACCATCTCAACCATCTCCTATTTTCGGGACCAGCTAACATCTTTTTTTTTGTTAGCCCCAAAACCTCGACCAACTATGAGCTCTCAGATCCGTCAAAATTATTCCGCCGAAGCAGAAGCTGGCGTCAACCGTCTGGTCAACCTGCACCTGCGGGCCTCTTACACCTACCTCTCTCTGGGTTTTTATTTTGACCACGATGATGTGGCCTTGGAAGGCGTGGGGCACTTCTTCCGCCAGTTGGTGAGTGAGAAGCGCGAGGGTGTCCAACGGCTCTTGAAGCTGCAAAACCAGTGCGGCGGGCGAGTCCTCTTCCAAGATATCCAGAAGCCATCCCAGGACGAGTGGGGTAAAACCCTGGACGCTATGCAAGCAGCGGTGGCCTTGGAGAAGAACCTAAACCAGGCCCTTCTGGATCTGCACGCCGTGGGTTCCGCCCACACTGACCCCCATCTCTGTGACTTTCTGGAGAACCACTTCCTGGACGAGGAAGTGAAACTGCTGAAGAAGATGGGTGACCATCTGACCAACATTAGAAGACTGGGCGGCCCTCCAGGCTGGGCTGGGCGAGTATCTCTTTGAGCGTCTTACCCTCAAGCACGACTAGGGGTCTGCGGGGACTTGCAGGGGGAAACCTCTGTGTCCCCCTGCCAACAGCAGCAAGCTTCTCTACCCCACCCTGATGTAGAATCTTATCCACCCAGAAGCCCTTCGCCCAAGCCTTGGATCAAATGAAACAATAAAGCTTTTTGCAACATCTAAAAAAAAAAAAAAAAAAAAAGATTTTGCCTATAGAATCCTTCAGTAATGCAACTTAAGGCTTAATTTGTTCTTCAGTTCTCACAGCTTGAGAAATCCAACCAAGAATGTTGATCCACAATCAACACCTATAGTACCAGCAGTCAAGAAATCAAGAGACGCATCACATTGGGAAAAATCTGCTCTCAGGCACCTCTCAGGAATACTAAAGAGAAATGATTTCAACTTAATTGCTTACTATGTATCTAAGAGCTAGACAGTGACCAAGGCAAACAGGAAAAGAATCAAGCACTTTGAGTTGTAGTGTTGGGGAAGAGTACTAAATACCCTATGAATCGTAAAGAGAACAAGCAGCACTGCCTTGGAAAAAGTGAAACTTGTTTCCATTGGAAGCAAAGATAGTGAAATTTCATCTCACATCTTTGGGCATGTTCTTTGGAGGAGCTAGTCCTTGGAAAAGGACATCATACTTCTTGGTAGAGAAGGGCCAATTTAAGAGAGAAACCTTCGATGAGATGGATTGACACAATGACTGTAACAATGGGTTCAAGTGTGTTGGAGATGATGATGATGATGAAAATGGCACAGGAAAGGACTGGTTTCAGATCAATATGATTTGGATCAATATGTTTCACAGTTGACTGAAAGGCACATAACAACAACAATGGCATCTATTCACGAACTTTCACGTCCTTGTCCCCCTATTCCCATCCCTGGTTAACATCCAAGAATGATTCTATGTGTCAACCTTTACTCAGTTTTTAGAATAGTGGTCTTGATGTTGTTGTTATGTGCCGTCGAGTCGCCTACGACTCATAGTGACCCTATGTACAACAGCCCTAAACTCTGCTCTGTCCTGTGCCAATCGCACCGTCTCTGACACTCCCATCCCAATTATCCCAGTCACTG